ATGCCAACAGTATTTAAACTATACATATGATGTATGGAGAAAAGCTATGTGTTATTTATCTGCTTGCCGATGTAAGTGCAGTGTGTGCATACTGTTAACACGCTTAATGAGGAGTATACACACACACACACACACACACACACACACACACACACACACACACACACACACACACACACACACACACACACACACAGCGATGCAGTAAGATTGCTGTGCCGCAGTGGCTCTTGGCATGCCCTTAGTCCGAGGATAGCAGAGATTGGATGAGCATATAAACACAATGCAGCAGCTGGTGTGTGTGTGTGTGTGTGTGTGTGTGTGTGTGTGTGTGTGTGTGTGTGTGTGTGTGTGTGTGTGTGTGTGTGTGTGTGTCAATACTTAGTGTTTCTGAAGACTTAGTGTTTCTGTATAACTGAATAATCAGTTATATTAGTATATTTTACCGCAGCCTGTTTTCCCAAAAATGTATTACCTTTAAAAACAAAACTGCATTGTCATAATTGTATTTAAGATATGGATGTTTTGGGCTATCACAAATATGGTTATAGTTCAAGTCTGTAGCAAGGAGGGTCAACTAACCAAAATACATTAACCCATGAGTCCACTGTTTGTGTCCCAATAAGAAGGGGACATATTCTGATCATTTTCAGGTTCATATTAGTATTTAGTGCCTCTACTCTGACATGTTTACATGCTTTAATGTTCACAAAAGGTCTTTATTTTTCTCATTCCCGATGTTGATCACGTGTTAAAAGCTGAGAGACAACATGTCCCCCTTTTTAAAAACTCCCCTGTGTAATTTCCTCCACAGGAATGCATGTTCACGGAGGCAGTGAGGAGTGTGTTGGCTGTCCCACTGTGAACTCCACTCACATTCAACTTAACATTGCGAAACTGTGTCAGCCCATTGACTGTTTCTCCCTGTGGGTTCACGCCTGGAACGTTGTTTATCTCTGGAAGCTGTAAAGAGGGACACAGTAGAGCAGTACTTATATTTTTATAGTAACACACGACAATGGCTTGTGAGTGAGATATGGTGTTTCTAAGATCTTTTGGAAGAAGGCAAATCCTGTATCTAAAGCACAAAAGACTTTAAAGGCAGCTCTGAAATCCTCCGTAAAGGGATTGGGCTGTGAGTTCGAGAGGAATTCTGCCCACTCCGTCTTAGCTCGAGAGGCTGTGGCATTCGCTGTGTGGAAGTCTAACACTGCAGATCATAAGAGTCAATAAAAGCAGAATCGCTTCTCTCGGTAAAATGGCCCAGAGCTTGTCCAGGAATGACCCTCTCGCTCGGATTTGCTGCACTAAATACTTGATTTGAGGAATCGAGATGAAGGATGCCTCGGAGCTGTAGAAAGTCAGAATAAAGAGCCAGTCTAAGAGTACAGATGCATTGATTCTGCTGTTGAATTCTGTGTTCTCATTAGCGCTGGTAAATTAGTGCGTGAACCTTTAAAAATATAATTTAACGAGTCTGTTTCAATTAGAGATGCTATGATTTCAATTGTTTAAACTACAAAGCAAATCATCTACCACAACAGTGTCAAATCAAAATGTTAATTATTTGGTCAGGGTCGGATTCAAAACTCATTAAAGGGGGCATATTATGCTTTTTCGGGGTTTTCCCTTTCCTATAGTGTGTTCTATAGGTTTTAGTGCATTTCAATGGTCTGCAAAGGCTAAAATCCCAAAGTTCCCTCCAAAGGGAGTTTCTCTTCCACACACTTTTTACATTTCAACTCTAGTATTAACTATTAGCTTTCATCCATGATCGAGGTTACATTGAGACACTGTGTTTCTCAATGTCAAGGAAGGATGCTCCAGAGCCACTATTTCAAGCATGCTAAGTCATCGAGTCCCGCCGAAGGACTGTTCCAATGTCCAGCATACTTGGAAATTCTACCGAGGCCGGCGTACTTCGTAGCGAGAAATTTCGAGGCTGCACATGTGTAGACTTCGCGGTCTTAAAATCCCCACAATGCTTTGCGCACGGACCAATTTCCCCCTGTGGTGGAAAATGTAAGGCGGGGCCTCTCATATGACGCACACTTGCTCGCCTGTTCCACTCTTCGTTTTCCGAATGCCAGGAAGGATTCTTCCCTCGCTTCTGAAGGAAGTGACTCGGAAGACATGTGCTACCAAGCAAGCGTACTCGACATTGCGAAACACCCACTGACTTTCATAGTTTGTTATTTTTCAGATTCCATGTATATATTTACATTGGCGATTTTAATTGCACATTCCTTTTCTCAGCAATCACCTTTTCTCGCCTACACATGCTATTCTCAGTGGAGCCCAGTATGTTCAGTGTGGGAGATTGCACTGAGGTTGAACCTGCTCTGAGGTCAGTGTGGTCGTAAATCCAAAGCTGAGATGTGAAAATCCTTAATCTGGAAACTGTTTAACAGAATGAGTAAAAACCCTTATTCACTGTCGTAAAGATGCCGGTAACCTCCGTGAGCCACATGTCGTTTTTACTATACACATTTAACACAACCTTGATGAACACCACTTAAATGGGCAAGCTGGAAACTGTTGTGGGTTGATTAACATAAGAATGGTGCAAAGAGTAGACATTTCTTTGTACTTTGAACATTGTACATTTTAGAGTACTAGACAACAGGCTTGGACTTGTACGATGTGCTGGACTCTTACTGTTGGTCGTTCTTGATGTACATAATTGTGGTTATGATGAGGCATCCTGTTGACTTTATTGGAGTCTTTTTTTAGCAAATAAACAAGACTCCAGCTTTCTAATTTTGATCAAAAAACAAGTTGATGAAAAGCCAGTGTTTTCACTTTGACTTTGAGAAGAAAACAAAACAGCCTCTCTGTGTTATAACCGTGCTGCGTATTTGCAGTGGAAAATAAATGGGTTTTGAGAGCCAATCTCATCTTTAATTTGGTTTTTTCAGCTGTGAAGCAAAAAGCGATGCGAGGAAGCATCATAATGAGATGTGCAACACTCTCCTGGCTGGCTGCCCTCATATACAATACCCATTGTTTTTCATCCTCACAGGCTGTGTTGAGAAAAATCCCAATATGCAGAGCTTAGTCAGCCATGAAACTCAACAGAACTACATCCGCTCTATTCAGGCTTAGGCATATACGAAAACTAATTGAATTTGAATGCTGCCAATCAATTAACTGATTAAGTTGTTCATCAAGTAAAAACACGAGACACTTATAAGGATTGTCAAACTGTTTTTTGTCTTCGGTCATTCATTTTGACATTTAAAGAGGCCCTATTATGTTTTTTTTTTTTTCCAGTAGTGTGTTCTATAGGGTTGTGTGTATGTAAATGTTCTGCAAAGGCTAAAATCCCAAAGTTCACTACAGAGCGAGTTTCTCTCCCACACACTCCCTGAAACGCCTCAATTGGACTTCTTTGTTTACTTCTGTGACATCACAATGTAACACTCGTGCTTCTATTGGCTAGCGCTCCAACACATTGTACATGATAGGCTAAGGGGCGGGACATCTCTAAGCGGTTGACCAATCACAACAGAGCCGGCCAGCTAACCAATCAGAGCAGACTGGGCTCTGGTTTCAGACAGAGGGTGAAAAGAGGTGCTGCAGCACAGGCAGTATGAGAACAATAAAGAGCTTTTTGAACATTACAGCATGGAGACATGTCTTAAAGCACAAAATACAAATATGAACCTGGAAATTAGAATAATACGTCCTCTTTAAGAACGGTGACTCAATGTTGGAAATAATACCTGCACGCTTAAGGCCTTTGAACAGTTTGTAAGATCCTTATAATTAAGATTTTTAGCTATTCGCCACACTAAATTGAACAAACCAGTGTTTTCCCAAATGTTCTGTGTGCTGATTCTTCTACATTTGTTCAAATTGATAATGGTTCCTTATGTCATTTTCAGTTAAATCTAAATGGATGAGATTCTTGTGCTGAGTTCTATTCTGCATCTTAGTGCGTTAACTGTGTTTCTGTATAACCTTGTGCCGTAAACACCCAGCCCCCGCTGGCAGATTGTTCCACAGATGTTGAGCAGTGCTGCCCACTCTGAGTTGCTTTTAAAGGACAAGCTGCAGAGGACACTTAAAGGGGAGAGATCCATGGCAGCAGATCTCACACCACAGACAGCAAACACTCACACATACCCACGTACACAGAAACACACGTTGCACTCTTTTAGTAAAGCACTGGTTTATCCGTAAATCATCTAGTGGTTCCTATGAGTTTATTTCACATGTACAGCTTGCTGAACAGCCGTATGTTTCTGGATAACGTTTGATGACAGTCGAGATTCATATTTTCCTTTTTACACGGTCCTGCGTTACTCCCTATACAGCAGATCGCTGCAGATGATAGTGCACTTTTATGTTTGACAGATTCTGCTCGTTTCACTGGGGTTTGCAGTGTTGGCAACAGGGAAGTAGTGCTGAATAAAAGCTTGGGTAAAGAGTCTTGAGGCTAAAACACAACCAAAGGAAATGAAGGGCTTGTTAAACCAGTGTTATTAAGAACTATGCATGACAGTGTCAGGTTGTTTAAGATCTTGTCCTTATATCGCCCCATATATCCAACATGTTTTTGAGGTCATTGCAGCGCTGATGAGCACATTAACAGTAAACAATTTTGTTTTGTGTCACATATTGATCATAAAATGATAATATATCCCAATCTGTAGGACTTTAAGGTACTACAAAGTAGGGCTGCTCAATTAATCGTATTTTAATCACAATTATGGCTTGCAACGATTACGAAAACAACGTAATCGAAATAAAACGATTATTTTTTTATTATTATTATTTTTTTTTTTTTTTTCATTATTTTTTTTTTTTCATTTTCAATTGAATTATACTTAAAGTTCAGGGTAATTAACTGTTAAAAACATACTGTTAAACATTTTTTTCTCCAAGAAATGTATGTTTTCAAAGTCAATGAATAATAGCATTTGCCATGGTGGCCAAAACATTTTTATTTGGTCTTAAATTGTAGTTCAATATTTATTTCCTGTTACTTCTGGACCATGACGATGGGTGGGCCAGCCTTTAATGTTTAACTCAGTGGAATATGTTGAATATTTTTTACCAAAATGTTGGTGTTGTATATATGTTAAGGAGTTTTCAGGTTTGTATTTGTTTTAAAGTACAATAAATGGATGTTGAATAGTCAATTAATAATCGCAATTACAATTATTGACCCAAATAATCGAGATTATGATTTTTGCCATAACCGAGCAGCCCTAGCACTTGGTCATATGGAGGGGGAGTGAGCTGGGGAAGGACAGTTTTTGTTG